CAAACCGATGAAAAAGGACAACATGAAGAAGGCTAGGCGATAAACAAAGAGAAAAAGAATTTAAAAAATACAAAGTTTGGACTTTTGGATCAGTGACGGTTGTCACGTCCCTGTGACGGGCGTAACACCCCACAACATAAGGAAACGCTCGTCACACACCACTGACGAGCGTAAGGCACTACTTCAGCGCGTGACGACCATCACCCACCTGTGACGACCGTCACACGCGTGAAAGTGGACGTTATGCATGGATTGAGACGCGGGTGTGAAGGGCAGATTCCTTCTCCCTCTTTCTATTGAGTCCCCTATTTTCTTGCCACCAACTATTAATGCTCCTGTATTTTCTCCACGAAGACTTCATCAAGAATTCAAAAACTGCTGATTTTTCCTAGGCTATATATATGAGTACCAATACACAGTTCAAGGGTCGAAGAAATTTACTCAGAGCAAATATTATTTTATTTTACAGTTATTTTCCAATTTGCTTGTTTTGGAATTCTGTTTTCATTTTCCTGTAATTTTCATTCAAAGCCTTAGTTTCTATTTTTAAGTGTTAATTCTTCTTTCAAGAATTAACACGAATTTTTACTGCAAGTCAAGCTCGAAGATTGGATTACTGTATTACCTTAAGATTACCATAGCTACTTTAATTCCAGGTTTTTTATATTGCAATTATTATTTATTCAGTTTTTATAATATGCCAATTATTGCCATGAATTATATTTTAAACTGTATTGTTGTTAAGTTAATTATGTCTGGCTAAATTATTAATACCGGTATGTGACCGTAAGAACTGAAAGAATTCAATGATACCTTGGCCAAAAATATTTACAAAACAATTTATGGTTTCCAATTTCCAAGATTAATTTAACTATCCTTGTCACGAGAGTGAGAGGTTAATTAACACGATTTTGCCACGAGAGTGGGAAATTAATTAAGGCAAGAACCTGCATGCGAGAGCTGGGGTTCAACCCAGATAGTGATAACGGAGCATTGATTTTTAAATACACGAGAGTGTTTTAATAAATTAATTAAATTCAAATTGTTTTCAAAAAGTGTTATTAAATTTAAAGTGCATCCACTAGGTTTAGTAGCATGACTTATTTCATAAACACGAGAGTGTATGTCTCAGGTTTTTAAATAATTAGCTTTTACCGAAATACTTTATAGGCCAAGCGACTCATCGAATTCCCTAAGTTCGATTATCACATACCGATATAATTAGTACTATTACTTTTAATTAAACTGTTTCCCCCAAAAATCGAATATTCATCGCTTAGTTAGACAAACTGTAGCATTAGATCGTATGCGATTGATCCTCAGTCTCTGTGGGTTCGATAATCTTTTAAAACTAGAACGACTGAACTGTATACTTGCAGTTAGTATCTCGACAGACTTATAAAGTCCCGATCAGTTGCGGTGCAGCATATACCCTGACCAGATATGCAGTTCACTTCCGCTTCCTCAAGTCGGAGTTATTTCCCCAGTAGAGTAACAAACAATTGAAGCTCCTAAAATTTTATTCCTCCCAAGACAGATACCAACAATCTTTAGCAGATTCCTCATCAACAACGGTAACAACAATTCTCATCGAAGGAATGTCTCAGGAAATCAACATTCTCTAGATGGCATCTTTAAGCCCGTCTCCGATAATTCTCTGTCGCATCCAGGATGGCATCTCTAAGCCCATCTCCGATAATCTTCTATTATCGATCTCCAAATGGCATATGTAAGCCCATTTATGATATCACAAATCAAATGCCACTTCATGCGAGTGCAAATTTCTGGGCACTCTAGTGTTCAATCATCTTCCACCTTCAGATTACGAAATGCATGCAGCCAATCTACATCCTCAAGTTTAAGAAGATTGAACAGGGGCAGCTATTGTACCCCAAAATTTTCCCTTTCATTTTACTCAATACATGTCTATTGAGATCTTTAATTTGCTCAAGGTTTCCCAAGAGTGGACCAGACAAACTCTCTTCTAAAGCAGTATACCTCAAATTAGAGTTTCCATTTTCATCAAGATGGGTGAACCACAAAGGCCTCATATGATCTCCATGGTCTTAATATGTTCTCAAGACCCTACATGTCAAGTTTCATGCCTTGCACAAGAAGTTTTCTCAGTCAACTACTCAGATGCTTGAGAATCGACAATATTAGGTCAAAAGTCAACTGTGACCCACATACAGTGAAACTTCAAGATTTTTGGTCAAGGATTAGCTCGGTGAACCCAGCCGAGGAACTTTCGATTAGGTGATTGAAGAAAGGTCCCGTCAAAGTTCCCATGAAGATGTCAATAAGTTCCCTGTTAGTTAGAGGGGGCTGCACCCTACCAACCAGATCTCTCTACTTTTGGGCGTATCCTTTGAAGCTCTCATTGGAACGCATGGTCATGTTTTACAATTGCACACGAGTTAGTGCAAGATCAACATTGTACTGGTATTTCTTGTAAAAAGCAGCAACTAGATCCTCCCAGGTGTGGATGCGAGAACCCTCCAATTGATAGAACCATTCAAGCTGAGTCCCTACTAGGCTCTCTTGGAAGAAATGGATCAAAAGCTTTGGATCGGTTGTGTATGGTTGAATCTTGCGGACATAAGACTTTAAGTGCATCTTAGGACAAGAGACTCCGTCGTACATGGTAAAGGTATGGATTTTGAATTTTGGTAGGATGAACAATCCAGAAACCAAACCCATGTCTCCTAAGTCCAAGCTAGGTATCTGCTGAATCTCCATAGCATTAAGGCGATCCTCCAACTGTTTGTACTTGTCATCAGCGGGAGGATACTGTTCCTTAGAGTAGTCAACTTCGACTTCATCAATCTCTAGACCGTTGTCTTCTTCATGACTATTCCCCATGTTGGATTGAGTTGAGAGATCTAGAGCTCTCTTGGATGGTCCTCTAAGTCTTCTTCCCAAGTTCAGGATGCCTACCAGCTTCTTAGGCTTCTTCTTCTTATCTTTGAGAAGAAGAGTATCCAGTTCCTCTTTCTCCTTGGCCATGGCCAGGAACATTTGTTGGAATTATGCATTTTGAGCTTAGAGATCTTTCACCATTTGTTCCATATCCATCTTACTGAAATAAACAATAAGAAGATAAGGAGAACTGTATGGGAGAAACCTGTCATGATATGTGGATGCATGTTTTCAAGGATCTCGTGGGGTAAATGTTAGTAGTCACTTACAACTTTGATTGGAGAACTTTGTATCAAGGGATGTCCTTCCACGAGAATTAAGCTCACCATGTCAAGTGGGTCATAGCCCCTGACTCAAGTTGTTGTACTTGATCTTTGATGGCATTTGGTTAGATGAAAATAAATCCTTTTGCCCTTTGGTATACGCCTGGTTCAACGTGACCCTGCATCAAAGACCCTTGAGATCCTTGAAATGGTTATTGTAAATGCTATGGTATGATGTCATGATGTTATGTACAAATATGCAAAGTAAGCAAGTTGTTATGTACAAATAGTCATATACACACAAAGCAGACAAGTCCCTAGGTTTAGGTTTGCATGGGGTTTGTAGGTAAGTACCCTCTTGAAGTTTAGTTGGCTCAACCTGTTCTAGTTAATAGTAACCGGGTTCTAAGGGATCTCAATATCACTGATTTGTTTTCTCGGGCATTGTTTCAGCGCAAGCATCTTTCACAGCGACCAAAATATCCCTAAAAGCCAAACCTCAATGAGTGTAGTATCGAGTATTTACCAACTTCAGACTGCACCAAAGTCGGTCATCTCACTACGTCCTAATGGCCAAGTTGGTCAAGTAAAGGTTCTAAAAGTTTGTTAGTGCTTCATGACATCACTCAGCGGCCCCGTATTCTCCTTGACTACTCAAGGACTACTGGTACCCACAAATATGTCACACTAATGTAGTTATTGCTTAGACCATGCCGGTATACCCCGTACATTTTCCATAATGTATTGCTACTTACCTATAAGGTATCTCAAATCCGGGTAGAGGATTTAAGCCCAAACAAAGAACCAAAATGTAAAGCATACAAGTCAAACAAAGAAAGCAAGTAAAGGTGATCTAGCCCTAAGGTAACCTCACTTTTAAGTTTCTCCCCAGCAGAGTCGCCATTTTTGTAACACGGTGGGAGAACTGACTTGGGTGTTTTTGCATTTGATCGCAATGTTGCGGATAACAAGAGTCGCTGTCGACTTTTCTTTTATCCAATAAGGAAAGGCTGAAAAGAACATGAAAGACCTTTCGAGATTATTTCTGAGTTCGGGGGGTAGATTATGATAAGGGAGGGTATTAGCACCCTTTTCATCCATAGTTATATACGGGCTATTAGTTGCTTGCTAGATCACTTGCTTTTGTTTGAAAATATGCTTGTGGTGTGGGTTTTGAAAGTATTTTGAAGATATCTTTGTAATGGTTCTCGTTTCTATAAGAATGCGTACAAAGTGTTGTTTCGAAAATAATTCAAAGAGGTGTTTGTGGAATGTGTTTTGAAAGTGATTTTGAAAAGGTGTCTTTGTAACGGCTCTCGTTTCTATAAGAACGCGTACAAAGTGTTTGTCTTTTGAAAATGTTTCAAATAAGTGTGTTGATGTATAAAATATTTTTGTTGTAAGCAAGCGAGCAACTAGGAGCAATCTACCTACTCAAAAGGTCTTAGATGTTCTCTTCCTCCTCCTTTAGATGTTGCTATCTTACCATTGTTTTGGTAAGAAGCCCCATCGTTGGATGTGAAGGGACGAACGTGAGACGTTTGTATAGTAATAAAAGACAACCTATGAGACGTTTTAGCAATGTCGTTTAGGGACTAGATCGTTTTCCGAAGGCAACATCGAGGGACTACGATCATTTATCGAGGGTCTTTGCTAAAATGTCCATGTTCGAGGGACATGACTATTTTCCCGATAGGCAACAAGTGAGATTATCCTAAGGGTGCATGTGTAAAAGTGTGTTTGATTGCATGCATTTTGTCTTTGATTTTTGGGTTGTCTAATGCAGATAATTCCGACTCAGGGATTATGCTAGTTTAGATGATCAAGACAAAGTCTCATCTCTTCACTGCAGTCCTATCAAAGACCGTGCAACCCACTTGTGATACATTAATTGTCTCACCCGTAGAAAAGACTGCCCTATCCTGTGAGCTTATCCAGGGATTAGATGATAAAGACAAGGGTGTTGTTGTTCCTGTTGGCCATGATGCAGTTAATAAGATTGAAACCGTATGTATTGAGTTTGGCCCAGTTATTTCCACACCTCAACAACCTGAGATGCCAAATCCTGAGCCAACACCTGAAGCTGCAAAGTCTTCAAATGATTCTCCGTAACTAGAGAATGCATTTCCTGTCAATAATGTAGTGAGTGCAAAAAAAGCGTAGAAGGAACAACTACAAGGCTAATAAGTAAGCACAGAGGGAAGCTCAGTAAGTATCTATTTGCTTTTTTTTGTTTCATTTACCTGTTTGATGTGTCTTTTAACTGTTAATATTATGTAGTGAGGGGAAATATATATCACTTTTTTAGCGGATGTATAATGGGTTTTGAATTATGATATAAGATAAACAATATTTGCTTATATGGATTTGTTGTACCCCAAAATTTGCCCTCCCATTTTCCTCAACATTTTCTCATTACAAGACCCTTGGAGCTCAAGATCCAGTTAGGGTTTCCTCTGCTCAAGACTTCTCCTTGCACTGTTGACCCAAATTAAGGTTTGTGTTTGCACAAAGATATTTTGACCTAAAATGCCTAAGATGACTTTCATGCTTCATGTTGGACTCCCAAGTTTATCCATACCAAGTTTCAAGTCTTGATTCCAAATTTTGCCCAGTCAATTGGACAGTTGACCTAGAAATCAATTGTATTGGGGAAAAAGTCAACTGTGGCCAATTGACAGTCAAACCTCATGAAAATTGACCCACATCAACATTATAAACTCATATGGACCATTTGATCAAGTTTGGATCACAATTCCACAAGAAATTTGATCAGATCACCAAAAGGGCAAAATGGTCATTTCTAGGGTTTTGACTGCACAAAGGCAATTTTTGACTGTTTGACCTAGCCAATGGCAAACCAAGCTCACCTATGGACTCAAGGACCCCATGGAATTGTCTTTACATACCCAACAAATCCAAAAGATCCCAAATGCACAAGATTGACAGTTGAGTTTCCCAGTCAATTGATCAATTTTGACTGTATACTGAAAAGTCAAACTTTGACTTTTTGGTCAAAATCAAGTGTCAAGATTCATTTTTCATCAAAACATGCCAAATCATGAAACTTGTTCATCAAGAAATCAAGAATTGCAAATTAGGGTTTGAAATGAAAATTTTTTATGACTTAGAATTTTTCTAAGTTATAAAAAAAAACCCTAATTTTTTCCTAACTTTGTCCCACTTTCTCACCAAGATTCATTTGGATTCAAGCAAAAGTCAAAACATGAAAGTTGTAGTCCATTGCAAAATCTACAACTTTGATTCACAAAGTTTCCTCAAAAGAAGCTTGTAGCTCAAGTTACAATTTTTGGAACAAGGGTACTAAACCATTCTTAACTTAGAGAAAATTTGACCTATTTTAGGCAGGATTTTTGCCTAACTTCAAGACCATTTTTCACATACTTCCACTTGGAATTTCAATTTGCATTTCAAAGATGGATTGTAGTACATATTCCAAGATTTCCAAAATGTCCAAGAACTCATCAAACAACCTCATGGTTAGGGAGAATCGAATTTGGCAAGTTGGGAAAAACTCACTTTGTTCTTGGCCAATTTGCATGTTCATAACTTGGGCAACTTTTCAAATCAGCATGCATAAGCTAGTTACAGGCCTCTAATCCCATTTGCACTCAATAATTAAATGTCAATCCATTGTGTGTTAGCATTATTTTGTGCATTTGGACATTACATGTTAGATTAAGCCTTAATTAGATAAAGCATTTTTGCCATTTTTGAAAAGTAGAACTTTATGTCAATTAGCAATCCAAGCAAGTACAGTGCAAATCCTTTTGGCACAAGTTTATGAACAAAACACACTGATCAAGGGGAAGGTTAGAAGCACATTAGGGGAGCCTCTATCAGTCTAAAACTCAAGTGGACACTTTGTTGCTTAAAGTTGAAGAAACATAGCATAATAAGACACAACTCTCATTCCTGTGAACAAGAGCTTAAGAAAAGTTATCAAACACTTTCTAATCATCAAACCTAAGCTGAAACACGAGCCAACCATCTCCATTACCTTCTCAAACACAGAATCACCCTCAAACTGCCCAAACAGGGTACCTGCTGCAGATTGAGTTCCATAACTCAATCCATTCATGTATTCTTGCTAAAACCACTTCAAACATATCCCACATCATCCCTTGAAACTATTCCAAGCCTCAAACACGACCTGTAACACTCCCAAGCAACATCACCATTTTCATTTTTTTGTTTTGCAGTTGAAGTTCCATAACACGATTCTCTTGGTTTCCAAACAAAGTAAAGCTTGGAATAGCATCCCTGGACATCAAGGAAGTTGTACCAATCATCACCTTGCATTGAAAACACCTCCATCATCAGATACGATTCCAACTGAATAGGTAAGTTCATGGACTTCTATCTCCCTATCCAGGCATTGTTAGCTCTAGGTTTGTGAATGAAAAATGTTCTACTCATGCTCCTGAAGCTGTACATATCTTTACTTTCCATTTATTTTACATGTGCTATGAGAATTTAAGGTCTGAACATTGATGGAAACTTAGGTCAAGAATTAGGGATGGAGAAATTCTCTCTCATCTTAGAGAGTTAAGTCAAGTTCTTTATATGTCTGGATTCGTCTCTTAATGCTCTACATTTTTCATGTTGTGAGTTTTGCTTGAAAGTCCAGGAATCTGGAGATAGAAAACGCGCGTTTTGTTCATGTTCAAACAGTCTGGAGGTTGAAGAAGCTGCCTTTGGGCTGTGCCTGTTTCACTTTTCTTATTTGCACCATAGTTTTACTTTTAAACCCCCTTGGCCCATTATGCTTATTTTTATGATTTTTTGATCTTTTCTTTTTTGTTCTGACTTATTTATTTTTTCTCATAATATTAAAAATATAAAAATTATTTTTTAAACCATTTTTGTATTTATTAGGCATTTATTTGTTTAAATGAGTATTTGTACATAAATATATATATAGATATACTTTTATTCAAAATACTAAAAAATAATGCAAACATGTTTATTTTTTTGATTTTATTTCATATTATCTCTTGAAAACATTTTATAATAAAAATATATTTTTTTTATAAATATTAAATATTATTATTTTGTATATATTCAATATATTTGGTAAATAATACAAATACATATATGTATATTAGTATATTTAGGATAAAAAAATACAAAATATATACATTTTTATTTTTATTAATATTTAACATTGAAAATACCTTTTGACAAATATACTTCTTTTTTTTATTTATTTTTTGTACATAACTAATAAATATTGTATATATTAAATAATTAATACCTTTTATTTAAAGAATTAGGGTTTTTGCCCTAAACATAAAAACTCCAAAAAATTAACACTTTTTATTTTGTTTATTTGATATATAAAAAAAACACTTTTTTTTCATACATATAAAAAAACATTTTTGCATCTTGCACATTTATTCCATTTTTATTTAATTATTGTATATTAATTAATTTGTATAATTCAATTTTGATGTAATAGTTAGGTTTAAATTCCTTGTCAAAATACCCCCATTTGAACATTTGTACCCCCCTTCCCATATATTGTGTTGTAATAACTTAGGAACTTTATTTTTCGCACTTTATTGCTTTCTAAATATGCCATGTTAGAATTAGGGTTTGTATGCAAATCAAAAACGACAAAAATAGTTTGACCTAAATTCAAGATAAACAAGCATGAAAATGGACAACACCAATCACACTTGCACCCCTAGGGTATTCCACTTGTTGCCTTCAATAATGGGCCATATTGCATGTTAGGTCTCTTTGGGCAAAACAAAACAATCAAATGATCATAGTCCCTCGATGACGCTTTCGAAAGTTGCCTAAAAAATGATCAAGTCCCTTAAAGAAAACATTGCCCAAAGATACTTGGCACCATTGCAATTATGGTCTAAACGATGACCCGCGCCCATCCCCTTCACATCCTAACACAAGATTGTCCATCAAATGCAATGGTGGAACAAAATTGTTAAAAGGGTTAAAAACATAGGAGAAATCTTTGAGAAATTTAGGAGTAGACAACCTCTTAGTTACTTGAATCAAACTTGCAAAACAAAACACTTGCCTATTTTCAAACCACACATCACTACACTTTCAAAAAACAATTTTCAAAAACATTGAAAACCTTTTCAAAAGACATACACCTTTGTATACATCCCAACATGGATCATTACAAAGGTTGCCACCACATTGGCTTCTTTTCAAAACATTTTCCAAACCCACACACACAAAGCACCATTTCAAACAATTGAAAATTAAGGCAAGTTGATCTAAGCGAGTAACTAAGAGCCCATGGATAACCATGGATAGAAAGGGTGCTAATACCTTCCCTTTCTATAATCTACTCCCCGAACCCAAGAAAACATCTCAAAGGTTTTTGCTGTGCTTTTTAACCTTTCCTTAGGATAAAATAAAAAGTCGGTGGCGACTCTTTCTCAACCGAAACATTTGCGAAAACAAACGTAAAACCTCAAGTCAGTTCTCCCACCGTATCACAGAACTGGCGACTCTGCTGGGGATAAATTTAAAAGTGGAGTAACCTTAGGGTTTAGATCACCCTCTTGCATGACTAATTGTTTGAATTGATTGCTTTATATCTTGGCTCTCTTGTTTGGGTTTGCAATCCTACACCCGGATTTTAGGAAACATTCATAGATAGCAATACGTTGTGGAAACTGTGCGGGGTATACCGACACGGTCGAAGCAATAGCTATATTAGTGCGACATATTTGTGAGTACCGGTAACCCTTGAGTTCAATCAAGGATAGTACAGGGCCGCTGAGTGATGTCACTAAGCACTAATGACCTAGAACCTTACTTGACCATCTTGGCCTTAAATTAGGGGTAGTGAGATGACCGGCTTTGGTGCAGTCTGAAGTTGGTAGATACTCGATACTACACTCATTGAGGGTTGTTTTCTTGGAATATTTTGGTCGCTAGTTAAGTGGCTAAACCAAAACAATGAACAATGAAAACAATCCAATGATATTGAGCTCCTTAGAACCCGGTTACTATTTATAGGACAGGTTTTTAAGCCAACTACACTCAAGAGGGTACTTACCTATGAAACCCCATGCAAGCCTGAAACTAGGGTTTGGTGTGATTTGCTTGTACATATGTTTGTGCATACATCATGAACATCATAAAGCATCATATGCATTTACTAACCACTTCAAGGGTTTAGATCTTCATCTTTGTTCTTGTTT